GGCCCCAGTGGCTGCGCCCTCATGCGGTTCACACCCCCCATTCTGGTCACGCATAGTGAAAACCCCTCCCTACGTTTTCGTGGCCCCATAGGGAGCATCCACCGAAGGCCCAGTGGCTGCGCCCGCTCGTGTTTCACGGTCCTATCCCCCTTCTTTGAACACCCCTCACGACGTTTTTTCGTGGCCCATAGGACGTTCCACCGAAGGCCCCAGTGGCTGCGCCCCATTCCGTTTTCCACCCCCATTCTGGCGACAATCCCTCAGCACGTTTCGTGGCCCATAGGGATCTCCACCGAAGGCCCCAGTGGCTGCGCCCGCATGGCGGTTCCACCCCCCATGTCTGTCACACATACCCTTCACACGTTTCGTGTGCCCCATAGGGGCTTCCACCGAAGGCACCAGTGGCTGCGGCCCCATGCGGTTCCCCGCCATTTCTGGCACAGACCCCCCCCACGCTTCGTGGCCCCATAGGAGCTCCACCGAACGCTCCCAGTGGCTGCGCCCGCATGCGGTTCCACCCCCCATTTCGGCACACCCCTCACACGGTTCGTGGCCCCATAGAGAGCTCCACCGAAGGCCCCAGTGGCTGCGCTCGCATGCGGTTCCACCCCTTTTTTCGGCACGCCCTTCACACGTCTCGTGGCCCCATAGGGAGCTCCACCGAACGCCGCAGTGGCTGCGCTCGCATGCGGTTCCACCCCCATTTCGGCACACCCCTCACACGCTTCGTGGCTCCATAGGGAGCTCCACCGAAGGCCCCAGTGGCTGCGCTGGCATGCGGTTCCACACCCCATTCTGGCACACCCCTCGCACGTTTCGTGGCCCCATAGGGGCTCCACCAAAGGTCCCAGTGGCACTGCCCGCTTGCGTCCGCCACCACCCAGCACAGCCCTTGTTCCCTGCGCTTCACCCGCCCAGAACAGCGCTTCGTAGCCCTATAGGGAGCTCCACCAAAGGTCCCAGCGGCACCGCCCGCATGCGTCCGCCAACACCCTGCGCAGCCCTTGCTCCCTGCCTGCGTTTCACCCATCCAGTACAGCGTTTCGTGGCCCCATAGGGGGCCCCACCGAAGGTCCCAGTGGCACCGCTCGCATGCGTCCGCCACCACGCAGCACAGCCCTTGCTGACCGCGTCTCACCCACCCAGTACAGCGTTTCGTGGCCCCATAGGGCTCCACCGAAGGTCCCAGTGGCACCGCCCGCATGCGTCCGCCACCACCCAGCACAATTGCGGCATTCACAACTGCATATGGTTGGGTCCTTCGCCAGGCTATTTTTTTCAATTGAAGTGCCCCCCCCCGGGGCTCGCCCTTTGTTTTTTGTCAAGGAAAGCTTCCTGCTCAAACTGGCCCCCTGGCCCCCGGGTTACAACAACAACAACGGCTCCCGCCTTAGACTTCCTTTCAATTTAGCCAGAACTCCCGCTCCCGCCCGAGACTTCCTCGCATTTTTTCCCAACCATCCTGTGGTGTTGGGTCCTCGTTTTGAAGAGACGGTGCCCCGCGTTCCCGCCTCCTTCCTCCCTCCCTCCTCCCCCCTCCTCTCCCTCCCACACCCATTCTGGCACACCCCTCACACGTTTCGTGGCCCCATAAGGGGCTCCACCGAAGGCCCCAGTGGCTGCGCCCGCATGCGGTTCCACCCCCCATTTTGGCACACCTCTCACACGGTTCGTGGCCCCATAGGGAGCTCCACCGTAGGCCCCAGTGGTTGCGCCCGCATGCGGTTCCACCCCCCATTTTGGCACACCCCTCACACGTTTCGTGGCCCCATAGGGAGCTCCACCGAAGGTCCCCCATTCTGGCACACCCATCGCACGTTTCGTGGCCCCATAGGGAGCTCCACCGAAGGCCCCCCATTCTGGCACACCCATCGCACGTTTCGTGGCCCCATAGGGAGCTCCACCGAAGGCCCCAGTGGCTGCGCCCGCATGCGGTTCCACCCCCCATTCTGCCACACCCCTCACACGTTTCGTGGCCCCATAGGGAGCTCCACCGAAGGCCCCAGTGGCTGCGCCCGCTGCCCCCCACGGTTCCACCTCCCCATTTTGGCACACCCCCTGCACGTTTTCGTGGCCCCTAGGAGCTGCCACCTAAGGCCCCCCATTCTGTGCACAAGAAGTCAGACCCCTCGCACGTTTCGTGGCGCCCATAGGGGAGCTCAACCAGGCCCCAGTGCTTAGGCGGCCGCAATGCGTTCCCCCCCCATTGTGGCCACCCCTCACACGTTTCGTGGCCCCATAGGAGGTCCACCAATGCCACCAGTGCCTGCGCGCCCGCATGCGGTTTCCACACCCCATTCTGGCACACCCCTCACACGTTTCGTGGCCCCATAGGGAGCTCCACCGAAGGCCCCAGTGGCTGCGCCCGCATGCGCTTCCACCCCCCATTCTGGCACACCCCTCACACGTTTCGTGGCCCCATAGGGAGCTCCACCGAAGGCCCCAGTGGCTGCGCCCGCATGCGGTTCCACCCCCCATTCTGGCACACCCTCACACGTTTCGTGGCCCCATAGGGAGCTCCACCGAAGGCCCCAGTGGCTGCGCCCGCATGCGGTTCCACCCCCCATTCTGGCACACCCCTCACACGTTTCGTGGCCCCATAGGGAGCTCCACCGAAGGCCCCAGTGGCTGCGCCGCATGCGGTTCCATACCCCATTCTGGCACACCCCTCCACGTTTCGTGGCCCCATAGGGAGCTCCACCGAGGCCCCAGTGGCTGCCGCATGCGGTTCCACCCCCCATTTCGGCACACCCCTCACACGCTTCGTGGGTGGCTCCATGGGGAGCTCCACCGAACGCCCCAGTGGCTGCGCTCGCATGTGGTCCCCCCCCATTCGGCACACCGCTCAACGGTTCGTGGCCCCATAGAGAGCTCCACCGAAGGCCCCAGTGGCTGCGCTCGCATGCGGCTTTTTCAGCACGCCCTCACACGTCTCGTGGCCCCATAGGGAGCCCCACCGAAGGCCCAATGGCGCTCGCATGCGGTTCCACCCCCCATTTCGGCACACCCCTCACACGTTTCGTGGCTCCATAGGGAGCTCCACCGAAGGCCCCAGTGGCTGCGCTGGCATGGGTTCCACCCCCCATTCTGGCACACCCCTCGCACGTTTCGTGGCCCCATAAGGGGGCTCCACCAAAGGTCCCAGTGGCACTGCCCGCTTGCGTCCGCCACCACCCAGCACAGCCCTTGTTCCCTGCGCTTCACCCACCCAGAACAGCGCTTCGTAGCCCTATAGGGAGCTCCACCAAAGGTCCCAGCGGCACCGCCCGCATGCGTCCGCCACCACCCTGCACAGCCCTTGCTCCCTGCCTGCGTTTCACCCACCCAGTACAGCGTTTCGTGGCCCCATAGGGAGCTCCACCGAAGGTCCCAGTGGCACCGCTCGCATGCGTCCGCCACCACGCAGCACAGCCCTTGCTGACCGCGTCTCACCCACCCAGTACAGCGTTTCGTGGCCCCATAGGGAGCTCCACCGAAGGTCCCAGTGGCACCGCCCGCATGCGTCCGCCACCACCCAGCACAATTGCGGCATTCACAACTGCATATGGTTGGGTCCTTCGCCAGGCTATTTTCAGGAATCGCGCTCTCGCTTGGGACTTCCTTCCAATTTATTAAAGAATCGCTCTCCCGGCGCTCTGGGGTCGCGCTCTCGCTGGAGACTTGCTTGCACTTTACTGAAGAATGGCCTTGCGTTGGAATTTCTTTTAATTTGCCCAAGCGCCGCGCTCCCGACACCCAGGCACCCAGGAGTCGCGCCCGTTGTGGCCCCATGTGCATGCACTTCATGCCCCGCTGTTGCCATTTGTGCCCCCCTCAGTGTCCTACGTGGCCCAGTTGCTACCCTCAGTGGCCCCATAGTTGCATTTTGTGGCCCCGCATTATCTGCACTTCGTGGCCCCAGCTCGTTCGCGCTCTTCGTGGCCCCATACGCATTCCCTTCGTGTCCCCGCTGTCGCCCTTCGTGGCCTACTTCGCGCCCTTCGTGGCCCTGCTGTCGTTCTCTCTCGCTCTCGCTTTCGCTCGTCGTCGCCGTCGTCGTCGTCGCCGTCGTCTTCAACGTCGTCGCCGTCGTCGTCGTCGTCGTCGTGGTCGGTCCCCTGTCCGTCCCTGTTGGGGTCGGGTCGACGGTCCGCGGCCGCCCCGCCGATCAGCGCTGCCGCTGGCCACGCCGACGGTCCGCGGCCGCCCCGCCGCTTAGCCGGGGCCCGGCCTGCAGGGAAGAAAGGTATACCCCCCAAAAGGGGATCGAAGACGAAGAGGGCGGGTATCGAGGGTTTGAGAAATACGCGTTCCCTGACACTCGAGCATATAAGGGCGAACGGTCTTAAAATTATTGTTGTTAGTGATGCTGATGACGATGATGCTGATGATGATGATGATGATGATGATGATGATGATGATGATGATGATGATGATGATGATGCTGATGGTGATGATGATGTTGTGTGTGTGTGTGTTTGGTTGTCAATGGTTTCCATGCCCCAACCCGTTCACAGAGGAAGTATGTTGGTGTGATTCCTTGCAGGGAATCGTGTTGTATTCCGCCACAAAATCATTTCGCCCATTCTTCCACGCATTGGATCTGTTTGTCTTGTGCCACACAAGGAGTCCTTCTGTACCCGGCAACAAGGAGAATACTTAAGTGTTCCGCCGCAAATTTGTTTTTTCGCAATCCATCACACAAGTGATATTTTTGTATTCAGCCGCGCAGGGAATAATTTTGCATTTTGCTACAAAAGGGAACTTGCGCTTTACAAGAACAGTCCATTCGTGGTGGGGTAATGCAGGAATCCGTTGGGTGAAATAGAAGGGATGGTTTCTCTTTGTCATGTGCTACAAACATATTCCTTGTTGGTGGAATTCAAAACCATGTCGTTCGCTATTTTCAATTAGTTTCAAAAAGGAAACGCCCAGACTTGTATCGTGCCTGGTGCGGGAGGAGGAGGAGAAGGAGGAGGAGGAACATCAGGAGGAGGAGGAGGAAGGAACAGTGGAAACAGGATCCTGCGCCGCCGGCAGCGGCGGTGCCTATCTGCCATGGTGGCGCAGTGCGACCCATCCGTCGGCAGCGAGGCTGGCCTGATGCCCCTCGGTCTCCTCCCTTTCCTCTTTCTCCTCCTCCGTTTCCTTTTTCTCCTCCTACCACATGCCGTCGCCCTTTTCTTCTCTTGTTCCTCTTTCCCCCTAGTCCTCCTCTTCGTCCCCCTCCCTTCCTCCCCCTTTTCCCTCCCTCTCTTCCCCTTCCCTTTCCTCCTCCCCCTCCTCTTCTACCCCCCCCGCCTCCCCCTCATCTTCCCCTCCTCCTGTCCTTCTCCTCCTCTTCCTCGTCTCCTCCTCCGCCTCCTCCCCCTCCTCCTCCCCCTCCTCAACCTTATCCTCCTCCTCCTCGTCCTTCTCCTCCTCCTCCTCCTCCTCCTCCTCCTCCTCCTCCTACTCCTCCTCCTCCTCCTTCTCCTCCTCCTCCTCCTCCTCCTCCTCCCTGCTCCCCCTCCTCGGCATCCCTCCCTTTCCTCCCCCTCCTCTCCCTCCGTCCTCCCCCTCCACCCCCTCGTGCTCCCTTCTCCTCATCCTCCTCCGTCTTCTCCTCCTCCTCCCGTTCCTTCGAGGCGGACACGGCGCCCCCTGGCGCCCTCATGGTCGGCAGCCCCGTGCTGCTGAAGGGTCTTGTCGCGAAGCCCGAGTGGAACGGCAGCGCGGGGACGTGGGGGGCCCTCCTTCCTGCCCTCCCCTGCCTTCCCTCGCTTCCCTGTCTTCCCTCCCATGACAGCTGCGCAGTCTGAGTGCCACTCCTCCTCTCTCCTCCGAATCCTTGCTGAGAGCGTTCGCTCCCGCTCCGCGTCCTGTTTCTGACGGGATTTGCGCGCCTTCGCTGGGCTCATTTTTTTACAAGCCGACTGTTTCCAGTTGTTCAAAACATTGCTCTCGCTGCAGCCTGGGCCTCATTTTCGAATCGGCGCTGTGCTCCCGTCGTTCTGAACGGCGCTCCCACCCTAGCGTGGGCCACTTCTCTGGATCCCACAGGTCTCGCAGGTCTCTCAGGCCCCACAGGTTCCACAGTCCCGCAGGACCCTTACCTGTTGCAGGTCGTCCCACAGGTCCCACATGTACCCACCGGTCTGGCAGGTTTCACAGGTCCCACAGGTCACACAGGTGCCGCAGGTCTCGCATCCCCGCAGGTCTCACAGGTCCCTCAGGTCCCACAGGTCCCGGAGGTGTCGCATGTCTCACCGGCCTGGCAGTTCTCACAGGTCCCACAGTATCCACAGGTCCCACAGGTTCGACAGGTCTCAAAGGAATCGCAGGTCTCACAGGCTCTACAGGCTGCAGGGGTCCCCTAGGTCGCACAGGTCACAGGTCCTACAGGTTTCCCTTCTCCGACTGCGCATAGCACGAGGGGGTCTTTTGTGGAGTTCCAGGTCGGCTATGACACGCATCCGCGGATAATGAAACACCAGCGCAAGGAGCAGGGATGGGAGTAGTGGATAGGATATCAGATATGGCGCGAGCGCACCTGGCTTGTCTCCCTTCCTCTTCTTCCTCCCTCTCCTCCCTCCCTTCCCTTCCCTCCCCTCCCCTCCCCTCCCTCCCGTCTCCCCTCCCTCCCCTCCCCCCCTTCCCTTCCCTTCCCTCCCTTCCCTCTCTCCCTTCCCTCCCTGCCCTCATCCTCCTCCTCCTTCTCCTCCTGCTGCTGCTGCTTCCTCCTCCCTCCATCCCGTCCCGCCCTCCCTCTCGCCCTCCCTCCTCTTTCTCTTCACACTTACACAATCAGAATACTACTCTCCTCTCTCCCTTGACTCTGTACGCATCGGATTCCGACGAGGTGGTCTTTCATATGTGTTTTTTCCAATCCGTCTCTTTCCAGTCCTTCAAAATGTTGTTCCCGCTAAGCTCCGCTACAGCGCTGGCCTTATTTTCGGGATTCCGCTCGTTCCGAATCGTGCTCCCGCTGCAGCGTTGGCCTCATGTTCGCGCTTCCGCTCATTCCGAATCGTGCTCCCGCTGCAGCGCCGGCCTCATTTCCGCGCTTCGGCTCGTTCCGAATCGTGCTCCCGCTGCAGCGCTGGCCTGATTTCCAGTGCCAGGCCATGGCATGCAATGCAATGCTAAGGTGTGTTCTGCTGTGCGATGCCATGCTTTCACCTGCAATGCTATAGTACGCAGTGCTTGACAACGCAGCGCCACGCCATGCAATGTGGCGGTACGTGTTGATCTTCAACGCCATGTTGTGCCAATGTGATGCTATGCCATGCTACGACATCCGACTGCGCGAATAGAGAGGATATCTACGCCATGGTAAGGGATGGGAGGAAGGGGCAGAACATCAGATAAGATGCTTGCCTCCCTCTACTCCTCTTTCCACTTCTTCTCTTCCTCCTTCCCTGCTCCTTCGATTCTCCTCCACGGCGTGATTGCAGCCAGGGGGGGGCGGCGTGAAGGCGGAAAGGAGGAGGAGGTGGATGAGGGGGAAGAGGAGGAGGAGGAGGAGGAGGAGGAGGAGGAGGAAGAGGAACGGGACCAGAGCAACACGAGGATACGTGAACGACGCTGCGATTCACGCTCCCGCCCCAAAGCCCACGCTCAGGGAGGAAGAGGAGACACCAGAGCAACACCAGGATGCGTGAATAATGCTGCGATCTACCCTCCCGCCCCAGTGCCAACGCGCCTCCTCGTAATTCGGTAAGCACATACAAGTTCTTCCTTCTCATGAAGGGAAGCGACCCATAGGCCTGTCACACTCACCAGAACATCGGTTTGAAACGGTGTTGCCCTGCATTCTTCTAGTCCTAAGGAATGCGAGTCTATACATATGTATATATTTATACGTAGCACCCCGCAGTTGCGGATAAGAGTGCGGGGGCGGTGGGGACGTCGGCAGTCTGCTAGGCTATGAAGAAGCCCGCCGCAGGCGCCTAATGTTTCCCCAATCAGAGCTTGCCTCTGTAGGGGTCCTAGCGGTCTCATATGGTTAGGTGAGGTGCGTCGCCGATTTCGGTGGCCGGGCCGGGTGCCCGGGGGTGCCCAGGGGTGTTCGGGGGCTGCCCGGGGGTGCCCGGGGGTGCCCAGGGGTGCTCGGGGGTGGCCGGGGGTGCCCGGGGCTGCCAGGGGATGCCCAGGGGTGCCTGGGGGTGCCCTGGGGTGTCCGGGTGCCCGGGGGCCTGGGTGCTCTATCGCCTTATAGCCAGCATTATAGCCTTATAGCCCTCTAGCCCTATAGCCATTTAACCCTATAGCCTTATAGCCCTATAGCCCTATAGCCCATAGCCCTACAGCCCTATAGCCCTAAAGCTGTATAGCCCTATAGCCCCATAGCCCTATAGCCCCATAGCCTTATAGCCCATAACCCTACAGCCCTATAGCCCTATAGTCCTATAGCCCTATAGCCCTATAGATCTATAGCCCGTAGCCCTAGCGCCCTATAGCCCCATAGCCCTATAGCTCTATAGCCCAATAGTCTTATAGCCCTACAGCCCTATGGCCCATAGCCCTAGAGCCCTATAGCCCCATAGCCCATACTCCCAAACACAATTCTGACTCGGGTTTCTCTGGTATCATTACAATTTATGCAACGAGCCTGCCGCAGGCGCAGCTTTCGTCGTTAAAGCAATGTGGGCGGGTCGCAGGGTGGGTCGCGGGTGGGTCGCTGGTGGGGTCGCGGGTGGGTCGCGGGTGGGTCGCGGGTGGGGTCGCGGGTGCGGGGGGGTCGCGGGCGGATCGCGGGCTGGGTCGCGGGGGGGACGACGACAACAAACAACATTCAATAACCACCCTCACCACCACCAGCAACACCACCACCACCAACAACAACAACCCGCACCGCATAATTTCACTTCAGCCGCGCGCCCAGGGACAGTGAATGACCGTTCGGTCCCCTCACTCGGATCACTCTGCTATTTGTGTATATATATATATGACTAACATGCCAGAGATCTGTTCAGGGACAACTTTTGTTTGGAAAAGGAGCAGCCCTGCATCCATGTGGCGGTTGCACAGTTTGGGACAGGGGCCTCCCCCGCTCTTGAAGCTGCCGCGCACATGTGTATTTCGGGGCACCCCCAGGGCGTCTCAAGCGAGAGTCTAACCTTGAATAAGGAAAATACGTGATGCGAGTCTTAAGACGAGTATGCGCAGCGCTAGGGCGCAATTTGCAGAGCCACGTGTTCAAAAGGAATTGCCCTCCATTTTTGTGGCAGTTGTGGGCTGTTAGGACGAACGTGCCGCGCGCTAGGGGAAGAGCGACCTTTTTGAGCACCGCCCGCCCTCCATACGTGTAAATGGTGGGAGCGTTTCCGACGACTGTGCGCGACGCTTCAGGGGAGTCTCGTATTCTAGTGGCGTCCGGCCAGTGCCGCCGATCCGGGGCGCTCCGGATGAAGATGATGATGATGATGATGATGATGATGATGATGATGATGATGATGATGATGAGGATGATGATGATGCTGATGATGCTGATGATCTGCTGATGATGATGCTGATGATGATGATGTGACGAGGGTCATGATGATGATGATGATGATGATGCTGATGATGCTGATGATGATGATGCTGATGCTGATGATGATGATGATGATGATGATGATGATGATGATGATGATGATGATGATGATGATGATGATGATGATGATGATGATGATGATGATGATGATGATGATGATGATGATGATGATGATGATGATGATGATGATGATGATGATGATGATGATGATGATGATGATGATGTGACGATGGTGATGGTGATTGTGATGGAGATGGTGATGATCCGGCCCCCCCCCCTCCTCTCTCCTGCCCCCCCCGCTCTCTCCTGTCCCCCCCCTTTCTCTCCTGTCCCCCCTGCCCCTCTCTCTCCTGTCCCCCCCCCCTCTCCTGTCCACAATTACTCAATCTGAATACTACTCTCCCTCTTCCCCTGATGGCGTGCTGGGAGTAGCCGACCCCCCCCGCGTCCTGCTTTTTTGCACACAGGATTCCCGGGAGTTGGGTTTTCGCCTGCATTCTTTATCAAAATGCTGCTCTCGCTGAGGCGCCAGCCTCATTTTCGGTCCCCGCTCGTTCCGAATCGTGCTCCCGCTGCAGCGCTGGCCTCATTTCCGTGCTTCCGCTCGTTCCGAATCGTGCTCCCGCTGCAGCGCCGGCCTCATTTCCGCGCTTCCGCCCGTTTCGACTCGTGCTCCCGCTGCAGAGCTGGCGTCATTTCCCGTGCCATGCCACAGCACACGCGCACACACGCACACACAACACACCACCACCACCACCACCACCACCACCACCACCACCACCACCACCACCACCACCACCACCACCACCACCACCACCACCACCACCACCACCACAACCACCACAACCACGCACGCACGCACGCACGCGCACCACCACCCACTACGCACGCGCGCGCGGAGCCACAGGTCCGCTACGACACGCGTCCGCGGATAGAGAAAATCAGCGCCATGGTAAGGGATGGGAGGGAGGGGTAGGACGTCAGATATGACGCGAGCGCACCTAGCTTGCCCCTCCCCCCTCCCCCCCCTCTCTCCTGTGCCCCCTCTCTCCTCTCCCCCCCCCCTCTCTCCCTGCCCCCCCCCCCCCCCCCTCCCTTGCAGAGCGCCCATCTGCAAAGCGGACCCTCCCGCCTTTCCCTGCAGCTCCCGCTCCCGCCTGAGAGGGCCCCCCCCCTTTGCAGCCCCCCCCCTTGCAGAGCGCCCCCCCCCCCCCCACCCCTCTCCTGCCCTCACCCTTGCAGAGCAAAACTCCGGGAGGGGGGGGGGCCGAAATCGAGGGGGGGGCTGGCAGGGGGGGGGGAGGTGCCGAGCACTGCATTCGACAGTTAATGAGGTCCCTCCCCCTCCCCCCCCTCCCAAGCAGAGCTAAAGCTCATGCTGAAGCAGAGCTTCAGCTTAGACTTCTTAAGCTCACACGCCGGATCGGCGGATTTTCAACACGACCCGCCCTCCCACCGTGCAAATGCTGGATGTTTGAAGCTTCGCGGCCATACGTGGTGGGGAAGTCTCAGTCGGAGCGCTTGGCCCGCCTTGATTTCCGACGCGCGCGGTGGTGCGAGCGGGAGGAGACTGTTCACAGAGAGAAGGTCTGGAGGAGGGAGAGGGGGAAGAATGGAAGAAAGGGATCAAATCACGACGAAGGCGTGGCGATGAGGAAGGAGCCGAGGAGCGAATAGGCGAATGAGATGAGGGAGGCATCCGAGGTTTGTGGAGCGTTCGGGCCTTCTCGTGGGGCGGATCTCCGGAGACTTCAGACCTCTGGAGAGCTCCAGAGTCCTCTGGAGGGATTCGGGCTCAGCTGGGGGGAGCATCGACCCCTGATCGCCCATGTGCCGTCGATTATTGGGGCTTGTATGGCCCATGCTGTCTGCGAGCGTGCGGTTTCGCTATTGGGGGGGCCACGGCCGATCTAGCGGCGACGTGTCGTCGACATCCAGGCCGATGTGCCCTTTCTGAGCGGTCCCGATCTGCTTGCGGTCTCACCCAGGCAGAAAAGCCAAGATCGTGAGCTTCTTGCACGATGCTGGCAAGTACGAGATCAAGCTGGACGACGTGGACGTGGTGGTGAAGGTGAAGCCAGAGAACGTGGAGCTGGCCCTGAAGCAGCTCAAGAAGAAGATCAAGCGCAGGGGCAGCGACGTGGACAGCCCCTGGGGCGAGCGCCGACAGCTGGTCCTGGAGGCCGCGCGGCGAGAGCGATGCGTCTGCACCGACCCCGGCCACGCCCATGCTGGGCCCAGGATCCCTGCACCCGTCTCCCTGGCCAGGCCAGGAGGGCGCAGGGCACCCGATCGCCGGGCTCGGGACGTGGGCCTGGCCGGGAGCGGCGCGCGCACGCGGCCGGCGGTCCTCCCCCCGAGGCCGTGCGGCGCTACATCGCGGCGAACGAGAGCAGCTGGACCAAGAGCCTGATGAAGGAGGAGCTGGCCGAGGAGCTCGGCCTGCCCAACGACCAGCAGATGGCCGCCTTCGTCACGATGGCGCTCAAGGAGCTCGACGTCCGCGCGTCCAGAGGCCTCAACCTCAGCTCGCCCACGCTGACCCCCGACAGGAGCCGTGGGCGCGAACAAAATATAAGCCCGGCAATTTCTGCCCCGGATGCCGCGCCGCTGGCTTGGGCCCACCACGTTGTTCTGGCTGGACGCGATGCAGCACAGGTCCTGGTCCTCACTCGTCAGCGTTCTGGGCTTTCCCCAGCTTCTCATATCCACGAGGCAGGGCTGTCAGCCTGATCAAGGCATGGCGTGTCGCAGGGAGGAGACTTTCTCCTCTGGCACGGAACGGTCGTTATCTTGGCCAGACTCCCCTCACCCGTGTAACGATACCGATCGTGCGTGGGGAGTTGGGGGTCCCCCCTACGCCCACATGCTGGCGCACGCGTGCAGATTGTGGCGATCGCAGCGCACCCACTCCGCCCCGACGTGCCCCACCCTGCCTTGGCGTCTCCGTTGCCCGGGACTGCACCCCCCTTCCCCGGCGACGAACGTTTTGGCGTTGGCGGCC